AATAAAATTCTATGAAAATCTAGTTTTATGTTTTAATTGAGTTAAAATTAGTTTTAATATGTAATAACTTTACATAATTTTTTAAATAATTTTATACTTATTATTTAAGTAAATATATAAAATTTAAGAAAATTAAAAATTAAAATAATTAGGAAAAGAGAATCAAGAAAATCAAAATAATTAAATAAATCATTATAATATTAATAATATTATTATTTTATTATGTGATAATATTAATTTCTAATATTAACAATAAATATCTTAAAAATTATTTTTTAATAATATAAAATAAAAAGATAATTACAAATTTTATAAATTATATTATTAATTAATTAAAATAAGAGTAAAATTAATAAAAAAACTAATGATTTTTTTAAATAATAAATATTAATTTAGTATCATAAAAATAACTATAAATTTATTTTTTTGCAAATAATTACTAAAATCTATTACTTTATTAATATAACATAAATCTAATTTTATATAAATGATTTTTTAATAAATAAATTTAAATATAATTATAAAAATTTAATTTTTAATAATAAGATATAAAAAAATAATATAAATAAATTTGATAATTTATTTATTTTTATTTTTTTTTGTTTATATTATTATTTAATACTATTCTTTAAAATGTAAGTATAAAATTCTTTCTAATATATTTTAGAAAACTTAAAATATTTTGATGTCTAATAATTATGAAAAGATAAAATAAAATTTTTAGATTTATCATATTATAATATATCTAATAATAATAATTTTAAACTTTAAAATTAATAATTATCAATATATATTAATTTTTTAATTTTAATTTTAAAAATAATTTATTATTATAAAAATATATAAAATTTAATTTATTAGATTGCATTATATTAAATAGTAATATTTTTATATTTCTAAAATTGATAAATAGCAAGATATATAAGTTTAAAATTTTTAATTTTTTTTATAATAATTTATTATTTATTTATCTTTAAAAATTATTAGTTAATTACATTTTTTCTTAAATTTTTACTTAGAAAATATTATAAAATTTATTATAAAAGTATTATTTTTTAATAATATATTTTAAATATTTAAAAATAATTAAAAATAATTGTAATTAATAAATAAATTGTCTGCAAATTTGTAGGCAAAACAATTGAAGAGATAATATTAAATTTAAAGATATTTACAAATAATAAAATTTAAAATAAAGTAATTTATGTAATATAAAATTTGATTTGTTGATCAGATAAATAAAATAATAATATAATTATATTTTTAAATAAATAAATAATATATTATTTTTTACTTTTTTAATTAATTTAAGTAAATGTTTAATAATAATTGTAATTTATCAAATCTAATAGAATAATTTAATAAAATAATTTTTAAAAATTTAATTTTATTATAACTTTTTAATTTTTTTATTATCTTAGTTAAAATATATTAAATAAATAAGATATTAAGATTTATAATGATTAAAAAGTTTATTTAAGCTTTTAATTTAACAGATAAATGTAATCAGATACAATTATTCTCTTATATAATTATTGATTATATAATCACACCTTCTTTTTATATATATTAATATATAATCCTATATTTTTAAAATATAAAAAATATTACTAAATATAATCACTATAATATAATTATAATCTGAATAAATATAATTTATTTAAAAATTTTTTCTTTATATATAATAAAAAATTATTTATAAAATAAAACTGAAGTTTTTTTTATATAAAATCTAATTAAACTTAATATAAATATAATAAAATTACTTTAAGTAAAAATCAAATTGATGAAATAGTTAAAAAAAAATCTTTTTTTCTCCTAGAGATTTATGATAAAAAAGAATATATCAATTACAAATTAAAAGTAATAGTCATATAAATATGAACATTTTTTGATGATAATGATGCAAATATTAAATCATTATTTTAGAGATTTAAGTAAAAAACTGATTAATCATGAATTTTATATTAATCAGTTAGATAAATTTAATTTTTGTTTAATTTGTAAATATTTTTATTTATTTTTTTTATTTTACTATTTCTTTTTATATTTCTTTTTTTTCAAAAAAAATTAATTAATCATTACGTTTAACAGGTAACAAAATTTTTAATTATCCCTAAAATAAAATTTGTGATATAATTCGCTACCTTTTTACTTTTAAATGTTCCTTATTATGATATTTTTGACATTGATTTTACTGATTTTTATACATTCTATTTAATTTTAGTGATAATACAGTATATTTTTTTAATTAGCATTATTTTTCTCTCCTCTATTCTCTGCAATCTTAATATGACGAATCCTAATGTCAGTAACTCATCTAATATTGGCAACTCATATAACTCACCTAATATCAGTAATACATCTAATGTTATTAATGCACCTAATGTTAGTAATATACCTAATATCAGCATAGGTAAATAAGATTTTAGTGTATATAGTAGTTTTCAAATTTATCAATACCATTATTATTATTTCAAGATAATTATCTTTTGAACTGCAAAAAGTATTAGATAGTCTGACCTCAAGGCAAAGAAGAATATATAATGCTTCAATAGGAAAAATCAATATTTTAAAAATAATTTTAGAAGAAAGAAAACATTCAGTATATTTTAAAATATTTATTTTGTTAATATATTAATATATTTCACTCTTATACTTACAAGTTCTTATGACAGTATCTATATCCCATAAAATTGGATAGGAAATCTAATGAGAATTAATTTTTGTTAACATTTATGCAATTATTATAATTATTATTTGTAATTTACTTTACGAGTGAAGAATCAACCAAAATTTTCTCTTTAATTTTAAATTATATCTAATATTTAGTTAAATTTATAATTCTGATGATAGAGTTGGAATCATTTATAATAAATTATATGATTTAATTATTTTTACACTACTAACATTAGGATTATTGATTGTGATTATTCTAGGAAATTATATCTAATCACCTATTTTAACAGTCAATTTTATAAATATTAGACTAAAGACATCTAGATTTATCGTATTATTGATTCATCATCTAGTCTAAAGATTTAGCCATTTGGAAATTGCTTATTTTCTTTGTAGGATTTGTTCATTCTACTAATATATAGTTTAAAGGTACTTGTAAATTACTTAATTGCTTTATAATATAACATTTGTAAATTACTTGTGATGTAGAATTTGGTCATTTATTGCTTATAAAATTGCTTAATTACTAACAAAAACATTTGTTAATTGCTTGTAAAATCAATTGCATAATCTGAATAACTTGAGTTATTTATATTATTTAAAGGATTATGCAGGTTTGGTTAAGTATTTATATTTCAACATCTAAAAAATGTATCATCTAATTCCTAAATCATGCCAATTAACCTATACTTTAAACTTCAAAAACATTCAAAGTTCTTTTGAAACAATCATAAAGTGATCAAATCATTTCACTCTGAAAAAAACTATCAAAAGAGAAACATAAATCATTTCAAAGGATTTGATTTGTACTTAGAACTATAATATAGCATAGATAAGGAAGGCTACCATTAAATACATTTTATATTATCTTTACTAATTCAATTTATCTGTTTTAGAGTTACTTGAGATTACTTTCTTCAATTAATATAGTTAGTAAATCTGTCTAAAAAGCATTAGTATTTGGATGGCAAATGGTGGATTAATAGTCAAGATAGTAAAAAGTATTATTTACTTTGAGATAAAATTAAAGAATCTGGAATTCTACTTGATGAGGTATTAAAAGTATATCCTTTACATAAATATCCTTCTTTGTTATATGAAATTAATCACCTAAAATGCACAGTATAGTAACTATATAACGTAAGATTTTTTTACATATTAGTTTTATTTTTACTGCACATAATTCTATTTCTTCTGAAGCTTTACAAATAGGATCAGTATGATCACGTTATATCATAGTATAAAGAAGTGCTGAGAAAAAATACTAGAGAAGGATGACACATTACGCAGTTTATTTTCAGAATTTTATCACCAAATACTTAATAAGTGATAAAATGTGATAAAGGTGTTAAATAATTTATATTGATTACATGATCAACTATACAGACAAGAATTAAATTCATTAAGAAAATTTATTTTCTTATACATAAAAATAAAATAATACATTTTTTTTACTAATGAAGTTAGTTATTTTTTTATGCAAAATCTAAACTGATAAAATATTAAGCTTATTTAACATATAACTTTGTTAATATTAACTTCCTATAAATGAATTAAAATTTAAAAAATGCAGTATCTTAAGTAGATCTAATTTTATATTAGCACTGCTTAAAATACTCTGGTTCTATCAAATTTTAGTGATTTAAAAATTGAATTATAACCGTAGGTATTTTATGAAGTGCAATATATATTGGATATATTAGGCAGTAAGATATACTATTATAAAGTAAAATTATATGTTGATTTTAAAGTCATAAGTGTATATCAAAATTTTTTAACCAATTATTCTAAACACTAACTTATATATAAGTTGTTTATTCTAATAATAATGTATTGAAAGAAATGATTTTACAATATTTATAAGGCGTATGGATTTTGATTTTTTCTAATAAAATTTGCTTTAAATTTTTCAATTTCTAAGTATTGTAATATAATATAATAGTAATACGTTCGTTAAATTATTTTTATTCTACTATTAAAGTAAATATTATTTAATTTATTAGTTTTATTTATATTTATTTATATTAAGATATTAATTAAATATATTTACCTGATTTAGTTAATTTGATTTCATTTTTCAGTAAAGTCCAATTTTATTTACATTAAAAATATCATTTAGTAAATAATCTATAAGAATATTTTGAAGATTTTTATATATTAAAGCTTTTATAAGAGCACTTGCTGATTTTTATATTTAAGATAACATTCAAGTTTATGGTATTTTTTAAACTATTACACATTCTTCTGATCCTTTAAAATCTGATTTATTTAATAATATTGCAAAATTATTTATTTTTTATGCCAATAGTTCACCATTAATAGTAATATTATTTTTTATTATCTTTTCAACTCATAAATTTAAAACCTTTTTAATTTATAAAAATTTTACTTTAATTTATCTTTTAAGTAAAGTTTTATAAGAATCTGATTTTAATTCTAATAACTTTTTTTTTTCTTTTAAAATATTACATATAAGAAAATTTCTAGAAAAATCTGATACTAAAATATTTTTGAATAAATTAAAATTTTTCAGAATCTAATTTCCTAGCAATTAATCATTATTTTTTTTAAAATATTATATTTTTGAGTAAACTTCTTATTCTTAGATTTTGACCTTTATAAATTTTTTAAATAAATTTTTTTTTTTGAATACTGGTAAGAGAGCTTTAATTTTTTTTTACTTTAAAAGCCTTTCCTTTGTCAATTTTATTTTTTTATTTTTTTGACAATTATAAATAAAATATTTATTAAAAAAATTACAATGCAAAAATTATAATCAGTTTGAATATTTAAAATATTAATTTATTTTTCTTTTAATATAAAAATTTTTTAATAATTACATTTATTATTAAAAAAATTCATTATAATTCTTAAAATTTTAATAAAAAATTCATTATATTGAAAATTTTATTTAATCAAATATTATTTTATTATATTCTGTATTATATTACTAATTGATTATATATAATAGTAAATCTTATTAGAAAAATTTATTATATATAACTATTTTATTTAATAAAATTTTAATACTACCAATATAATTTATAATAACATAAAATTCAAAATATAGAAATTCATTATAAAGTACTAAATTATAAAATTTTTAGTTATATTAAATTAGACTAAAAGTTTTATATATATTAAAAATATTATATAGCTCAAAAAAATTTTTATTTTAAAATAAATAATAAATTGATAAAATTTTACTAATAATTCTTTAATTTGTATAAGGAATTTTATAAAATTTTATATGTTACCATTAAGCTAATTTATACTTCTTTATTAATGTAGATAATTAATAATCTAATATTTTAAAATTTTCTACTATATTATCTTTTTCTAAAATTTCTAATATTTTAACTCTTATAATTACATAAATTACCATTAGACTATTCTTTACTTAATAATCTACTCATATAACTTTTTTTCAATTTTAGGACAAAAAATTTTTAACCAGAACTAATTTGCCTACTATTATTATTTATTATATTTATTTAACTAAACTTATTTTTATCTAACATTCAACTATAATAACATTAAGTTTAAAATGATATATTGCTTTGTTCTTTCTATGTTACATAACATAATTAACAACTTCTTTTTTTGTTTAAGAAATAAGATTTACAGCTATATTTTATA